GATACGAAAATTATTGACAGAAAAAAAATCCAGAAGTGATGTAATGTCTTTGTATTGTATTTTTGGATGAAAACTGTACTGATTAAACCAAAATCGTACGATATGGTATCGTACAAGAAACATTTTTGTGCATTTCCCTTCAAATAATTTAGTTTCAAAAGCGGTATTATTCGTATGATTTTCTGATCTTGTGTACTAGGCTTTAGTGGCGGATTTCCCACCATGCTATCACAGTCACACTCACTGATCACCGCCATTACAGTATAGCGTCATAGTTGCGTAAAATCCAGTATATATATTATAGTTTGTAGATTTTTTTTCACCAAAGACATGTAGGAAAATACATTTTGGCCTAAGTTTAAGAAATTTGACTTTTAGGACATTGTGATGATCCTGAGGTAACATGGATGTATGAAGGGCGAGTATGAATCTCTTTCAACCTGGATTCACACTGATGCGTGCGGTACATCGCATGTGATTCGCACAGGAACCGCACCGCATTCCTGGGCAAATCACATGCGATTTCTGTGCGGTGCAGTTCGAGCCATACATCTTGTATGACTCAAATCGCACTAAATCAGCACCAAAAAAGTGCAGGACCCTTTTTTAGTCCACACCGGAATTGGAATCAGAATCGGTGTGAACAACCATGCAATCCAATTTTGCACATCGTGCCGCATTTTGCGAACTGATTTCGGGGTGTCGTTAACTTAAAATACACACCCACAGTGGTTCGTGTGAACAGGGTGCGATTATAATGTGATTATAGTGCAATTATAATGTGGTGCAGAAATGCAAATTCCGCACCACATCAATGTGAACCTAGGCTCAGTGGAATTAAAGAAAAAGAGTTAAACTATACTTTGCTTCAAAAGACACCTATTCTTTAAAGTGACACTCTCACTAGTTTAAAAAGCTACTGACACCTTGCTATTTTGGGGACAAATTGACAAGGTCTCTGCAAAAGGGCTCCACCAACCCAGTTACACTCACATTGCCAAGTGCTCCCTCTCCTTCCTCCTCCACAGGCTGTGACACAGCACCCAGTGCTTACTGACTACTGTATTAGGGACCACGTGACCTCCTCTCGTGATAAAACTCAGATATAAAAGTCAGTTGCTAGATTGAAGCACTTGCAGGCAGGTGTTAGAGTAGCCAGCCAATGGTAATCTGAAAATTCCTACTTCTTTGGTAAATAAAGTAATCCCATGGTAAATATTGTTCACTACTGGGTGCTAGAGGGAAACCTGACATAGGATCAAAGTGGCATTTGCCATGAACTCTGGGCACCATCTTAGAATAGTTTGAATCTTATTGGACACATAGAATGTTTGAGATTTGGCAGCCATTCTGGACTCATAAGGGGTTATATATAGCCCCTTGTTTTACTTTGTGTCTAGTAAAGGTTACTTTGCGTTATAAGCAAAAAAGCTTAGACCTCTGTAATGTAATAATGTGACTGACAGGTTTACCCATAACAAGCAAAATGCTACCTACTACCTAGCGAAACTATGTTCTGTATAATAGTAATATGCTGAAAAAGTTACTTAGCTCTGATTATAGAGGCTTCACAATCTCGGTAGGCAACGTGGACCCCAGGCTTCCTCTAAAATGGTTGCAGGAGATTGGGCTAAAAGCATTTTCAGGTTCTAGCAGAGATCTTCCTTGGCGTTAAGTCATCTTAGAGTCCTCCTTTTCAGCATCTGTTGTTGGCTTTTATTTGGAAAGTTTTACCATCCTACATGGGTGTGGCTCCTTTCTCACTAAAGTGTTTCAATGGGAGAAACATTCTTCAATTAGCCCTCTAGGTGGCACTGTGGTATCATACATGCCATAGGTCATGTGTGTCAAAAGGTCAAGCTCTGTTTGACCATGGTTACAGAAGAATGGACTGATCCAACTGTCAACTGAAATACAACAATGGAATCTATGTTAACATTGTATACAGCGGTATTGTTTCTCCTCAAACAAACTCCAAGAAGCTTGATGTCTGTCTCTAAGAAACATATTCTTATATATACAGTAAGCCTGAGAATAAAAATCAGAATAATATAAATATACTGTATTTATATCCAACACAGCACATTCTGCCCTTTTTTTTTTCTTTCCTCAGACTACTAATAAAACTCATAATAATCATCCACCTTGAACGCAACCCCCACCCATTTCTGCCACTGAGAAGGTATTTCGGTCTTTTGCTTCAGCTACAATCTCTCCTCTAACTGGCATCTTGCCTGGATCTATGACCATCACTATGCCACCTGTCTGTATCCACTTCTGACCGTCCCAAAGAACATTATTAGGGAGGAGAGTAAATATACTGATATTTCCCAGATTACCGTACTGTTTACTTTGGAAGGTTTGATGTTATAGAGCCTCATTTTCCACTCTTGCTGGGAAGTGTCCACTAACCAGTCAGAGTCCCAGCCACTGTATTGAAGCTCATCTGCCAATGCAAACATAACTTCAAACCTTGCATTAGGGACAGGTTCCTGTTGTGTAGAATAGCTTAGGGACGCACATAGATGCCTCTGGAGATGATTCTGCATCTGCTAAAGGCTACCTTGTGGTAAAGTGGTGCAACCCTATGTACCACTCTGACTAAAAAACCACCCTTTCAGAGAAACCACTTCTGGGAAGCCTCAAAAGTACATAATTAAGATGAACTCCAGTCACATTAATGCTGGTCCTGCTCTCCTTCACCAGCACTGCCACCTTTGGAGGTCTAGCACATGCTCAGAAGTGCCAAAGGGCATAGATTATAGGACCCAGCAGAGCACTGTGGCACATCTGCTAATCTTTTGAGTTCCATTCACATGTGTAGACAAACAGAGGTGTGGACCTTTTTTTAACTGTGCTGTCTTTGCCAATGCTTGCAGAAAATCCCCGTGTGCACAGATCTTTGCTATATCTTGAAGGCTGGACATAGCCCTTAAGAATATCTGTGAACATGTGCAATCAAGCAGATTGTCATTGTAGTCTGAGCAATAAAGGAGGAAGTTCTGTCCTGCAGCACAAAAAAGTACAAAGCACTAAAAAAAAATGTGTCCAATAGTGAAAGGGAGGGAACAAGAGCCAGATGCAAACAATTTGTTTTGTGAGGTAAAGGCCTGCTTTAAGGAAGCACTGTTTTAATATCCGTTTAAGGAAGCACCATTTTAATATCATTCTTGAACTGCCCTGTACTGATATACCTATTTAAGTTTTACAGATTTAATGCACAGTTGTACCTGCTGATTACTCAAGAAGTTGTGCTGCCTGTTCCCTTTAAACTTCTGCCACTTGGCTAGCACTGCCACATTCTGAAGCAGTCAGAAAGGTGACAGCACCATCATCCACTGCGCTGAATGTGGCTAAATGGATGGCTAAAGTATCTTTTCAAGCAGACCCAGCATTAATCACTTACCCTCCTGAGGATTTACCCTCCTTCCTGACCAGGCCTTTTTTTGCTATTCAGCACTGCACTATTTCAACTGGTAATTGCGCAGTCATGCAATGCTGTACCCAAACAAAATGTATGTCCTTTTTTCACACAAACTATGGTATAGATGGTCTATAAACTATGGTATAGATACTGCAATTTACGCCATTTGCTATACAGTACTGCACTAGTTTAACTGACAATTGCGCAGACATGCAATACTGAACATAAATTAAATTTATGTCCCTGTTTCACACAAATAGAGCTTTCTTTTGGTGGTATTTTATCACCTGAGTGCTTGTTATGTTTTGTGCTATAAACAAAAAAAGACTAAAAAGTTTTAAACAAAGTGATATTTTCTCATTTTTGGCATAAAAAAATACCCAAAAAATTCAAATTACATCAGAAATTTAGGTCAAAATGTATTTTGCTACATAGCTTTGGTAGAAAAAATCCCATTAACTGCATGTTAATTGGTTTGTGTGAAAGTTATAACACCTACAAACTAAGGTATAGATAATGGAATTTACACAGAATTTACTTTCTGACTGCCTATTACATTTCTTGAGGTGCTAAAATACCAGGACAGTACAAACACCCCCAATTGACCCCTTTTTAGAAAGTAGATACCCTAAGCTATAATGAAACTTATATATATACTTGTGAGCTACTATAATGAGAGTCTAAAATATTCCAATTGATTGTCTATATAAAGTGACGAACAAAATGTAATACACTTGTGGTTTGCTGGCACTCACACCAACTCATTAAACAGTGTTCTGTGACTAAAAGATAAATATACTAATAGTGCCGCGCTCCTATATAAATTAACTGTAATAGTCTGTGTTATGATTTCCAAATCAATTGATAAACAAAATCAATAAATTAAAATTAAACAATAAAATATAACATATAAAATATAATATATGATGCAGGAATTGATCATCTATTGCCTATACCATCATATACAAATGTTAAAACATAACTGGGCTTGTGATCATTTGTGAAATCTAATGGTGAACAGAAATCAATAAATATGTGCACATAAAAAGTCCTCTTCTAATGTAAATTGCAATGGTGAAATACTACTCCCACAATCCAAGTGCAGTGTGGTCTTAACCACTTGCCTACCAGGCACTTATACCCCCTTATTTACCAGGCCAATTTTCAGCTTTCAGCGCTGCCGCACTTTAATTGACAATTGCGCGGGTCATGCAACATTGTACCCATATGAAATTTTGATCATTTTTTTCTCACAAATAGAGCTTTCTTTTGGTGGTATTTAATCGCCACTGGGCACTTTACATTTTGCACTATAAATAAAAAAATTGCAAAGAATTTGAAAAAAAAAAAAAAGTTTCTTTGTTTCTATTATAAAATTTTTCAAACAGGTATTTTTTCTCCTTCACTGATGTGCGTTGATGAGGCAGCACTGATGGGCACTGATAGGCGGCACTGATGGGCACTGATAGGCAGCACTAAAGGGCACTGATAGGCAGCACTAATGAGGTGGCACGGATAGGCGGCACTGATAGACAGCACTAATGAGGTGTCACGGATAGGCAGCACTAATATGCAGCACTGATAGGCGGCACTGATAGGTGACACTGATGATGGGTACTGATAGACGGCACTGACTGGCATCACTGCTGGGCACTGACTGGTGGCACTGACTGGCACAACCCCTGGGCACTGACTGGTGGCACTGACTGGCAGCACTGCTGGGCTGCACTGGTGGGTGGCACTGGTGGGCAGCACTGGTGGGTGGGCACAGGTGGGTGGCACTGGTGGACACAGGTGGGTGGCACTGCTGGGCACAGGTAGGTGGCACTTCTGGGCACAGGTGTGTGACACTGCAGAGTGGCACAGGTGGGTGCACTGCTGGGCACAGGTGGGTGATCTGCTGGGCACAGGTGGGCGGAGCTAGTGGGCGCACTGCTGGGCACAGGTGGGCGGAACTTGCGGGTGGCACTGCTGGGCACCGATCATCAGGGCACTGATCATCAGTGCCCTGATGATCGGTGCCGATCCCCGCTCTGACAACTGCCGGTTCTCGGCAGTACTTTCCTCACGATCTGACAGCGTGAGGAAAGTGCAGCCGAGAACCGGCACTTGCATTTCCCTCTGATCAGCGTGTCATTGGACACCGCTGATCACGTGGTAAAAGGCCGCTGTGATTGGCCTTTTACCACATCACGTGATCAGCTGTGTCCGTAGGACACAGCGATCACGGAGATCGCCGGGTGCGCACCCTCTGGGGCGCGCAGGAGAGCGCGTTCTGGGAGGACGTCATATGACGTCCACTCAGAACTGGCCGGCCGCAGTGAAGCCGTCATTCGGCTATCTGCGGTCGGCTACTAGTTAATATGCGCTCACCTTAAGTTTTGCCTAGCTAAATAGGCAAAACTGGCCTTTTGTCCTTACAGGACTGATGAAATAATCCTCCTGTATGGGGTTTTCTGAATGGCAAATAAATGGTTGTAGTTGGATCTTAATCCACCTGGGGTCTCTGCAGTGAATGTGACTGATGCTTGTCAGGAATGGATGGATGGATAGATATCTCCCTTTTTCCCCTTCAGGGGTCTCCTTCCTCCTGTATCAATCTCTCTCCAGTGTATCACGGATGGATAACATAAGAGAAAAAGAAACCATGGTGCCTTATCCTTTCTCACTGTCCTTCGGTCTGGATAAGTATTTCCACAAACATTTGAACTTGATTATTTCTAGACTTTAAAAAAAATAGATGCAATCCATTTTTAGTAAACAGTCTGGGAGCTTAGTTTTGTTATTTTATTAGGGGAAATAACTTGGATAGGGTGAGGGTTTATGGATGCCCAGTTTGGCTTGAATCAATGAAGGGGGGACAACTTCCTTCCTATATACAGAAACAGATCTTGGACTGTCCTTATTCCTTTTAAACCATCAGTCTTTGCGGATCAGTAGCAGCAGCCCTTTATGGGAAAGAAACTTGCAGCCCCCCAGAAATCAGCTTAGCTTCTTATAACCACATGCAAAGATGTTTCCTCTCTGCTCTGGAACTGTTCCCAGCTCCACAACCTGCTGACACTACCAGTCCTCCTGGCTGCTTAGAAGGTCTCTCAGGACAATGATAAAGGATTGAGCACAACACTGTCCTTTGAAAGCTTTCTACATGTGGCAGTCTCTCCCCTTGTGAATCACATGGTGTGCTGATATTCTCACTCTGTCCTCTTTGCTCCCAGGTCTTGAGCCTATTCATGTTGCACTGCTGAATGTATCTTTCTGAGCCAGCCCAAGCCCAGCCTTGAGGCCACCCCCCAGGCCTAGGGGACCCCTCCCTGGCACCAACAGTCTCCTCAGCACTCCATCTTCCACCTGACTCTCCTGTCAGCCTGACTCTCCCATATTTATGAGCCAGTCCACCACTCTACTAGGGCCTCAAAACCTGGGATTGGCCAGACTCACATAAGCATGCAGATTAGGTCTCCACCCCTTCCTGGCACCTGGCTTCTGGATGTTTCTATGGTCCTCCAGGGTCAGGAGGAGGCAATGCAGCCACAACCTGTTAAGTCATCTAGCTGACATACAGTAACCCAACCTCAATCACAGAATCACACAGTTACCATGACCAATGATTTTACCTGCAATCCACTACAATATTCTAGTAGCACATAAGAGGGTGCTACACATTTGTTTCCACTTCAGTTCCAAAGTTCAATGGCACAAACATCCTGCTAGCAGATTGAGCAGAATGGCTCAGCTCACCTGTTTCATATCCTAACAGCACATCTTTCTGATTTGGTCATCAATTCACTGGAAGGTGGGTTCCCCCAATCTGTGTTAATTCTGTTAAAGAAAGAGTCACCATAACAGCAATGGTGGCCTGCTTGGCGAATTTGTATGGTGAAATTACCTCAGTGACAGAGCACTACTTGAAATTCTTTACACAGCATGAGTTGGAGGCCTTTTTTAAGTTTGCAATGACCAGTTTTGGAGCTGGCTGTAAGTTAATGATAGAGTACAAAAAAAGTTGAGGGATTGCATACTGTCAACTTAGTTGATTTTATTTTTGTAGTTCTACTCCATCCACAGCTGTCACCTCTACATCCCCCTTCATCCACAGCTCTCAGCTCTCGCATCCCCTCCATTAACAGCTCTTTCATCTGCATATCTCCCCTCTGCATCCAGAGCTATTACCTTTGCATTCCCCTTTTACATGCACAACTATTGCCTCAGCATTCCCTTTCCTCCATCCACACTTGTCACCTTTGCACTCCCAAATTCATCTCCCTGTCCCCATTTCCCACCGTGTATAAGGATTACCTTCAGCAGCCATGGGCTATCTTGAAAAAAAGCACAATGCAGTGTGCATACTAACCAATCGCATATCTTGAAACTGTACCCAATCAAGAAAGATCTGACATTGTCACATGAAAATATCTAAAGTTCTAAATTGGCTGCAGTATCAAGATTTATAATTGGTTACACATTTCAGTGAATGAGTGAATACATTCTCTGACCTGCATGATCGTAACTCTTGCAATACTGCATCTGTCATTCTCACCCCCACTGCAGCATACTTACAAACAAAGCAGGCCAGTCATCCCAGAGAAAGCAAAAGAAAAAATACCTGGCATTAGTGGCCATTAAAAGAAAAAAAAACTGCCTGGCATTATTAGTCAGTGGAAAACAAAAATTACACTGGTGTCATTAGTTGGAAAAATTACTTGGTGCCAGTGGTAATTGGTTGTAAAAAAAATACCCCAAAGTCAGTTGTTGAAAAAAATGTCCTTGCATAAGTGTTGATAAGAAAAATATTTTGCCATTGGCGGTGTGTGTGGTATACTGTGTGTTGGGTATACCAACAGATCTCGGACCAATGGAATTCTCGGATAAAGCTAACTGATCTTAAAACTGCTCCCTCCCCCTCCTAACCCCTATTCTGACTAACCTGTATAAGAAAGATCTGACTACTTACCTATTTGCAGGCCATTCCAGTCTGACCATGTCATCCAACTCCCCGCTGTCAGCCAGCGGCAGCTACAGGGGAGAGGAGGGAGTGCAGCCAACTGATGGGCCATAGTGTGCCTATGGGTGATGTCACTGCGCCAGGCATTACCAGCCATTGTCAAGTGTTCTCTCCCATCCCCTGCGCTGGCAGACACTGGAGAGATCTCGGACAACAGATCTCGGACCAATGGAATTCTCGGATAAAGCTAACTGATCTTAAAACTGCTCCCTCCCCCTCCTAACCCCTATTCTGACTAACCTGTATAAGAAAGATCTGACTACTTACCTATTTGCAGGCCATTCCAGTCTGACCATGTCATCCAACTCCCCGCTGTCAGCCAGCGGCAGCTACAGGGGAGAGGAGGGAGTGCAGCCAACTGATGGGCCATAGTGTGCCTATGGGTGATGTCACTGCGCCAGGCATTACCAGCCATTGTCAAGTGTTCTCTCCCATCCCCTGCGCTGGCAGACACTGGAGAGATCACATGACTGGACCAGAGTGGCCTGAATACAGGTAATTGTATGGATCTTTCTTACACAGGCTAGTCAGAATAGGTGTTAGGAGGGAGCATTTTTAAGATTAGTTATCCTGGAATTCCACTTTAAATCCTTCAGACCTCAGATCATTCCCCACCAACCCCCTTAACACCCTCTGACCTCAGATCAGTTCCCTCTCTCTATACCCTCTTCAGAACTTAGATCCATTTACCCTCCTGTTGTGTCCCACCTTTGGTATTATTTATTTGTTTTACTATGTATTGCATCCATATAATTAATGTTCTTATCCATGATGACATCTAGTAGTGGATTAGTGCAGTGGCAGCATCTGTATGTAGCTTTTGGTATTTTCCTTCTGTTTTGTCCTCCTATTTAGTGCTGTATGGTACAGTCCTATTTCGTCCTCCCTGGCTTTTTCCATACTCCCTCCATATTTCCAGTCTTCCTAGTGTACCCTAGGCTGAGATGGTCAGTGTTTACTTCATACTTTGAGACTGGAAAAACATCCTTTGTGCTGTATGCTGAGAAGTAAAATTGCATTGGACTCAACTTCCATGTCTTAGTTTAGAGTTTAGCTGTCTGTGTTTATTCTGCTGAATCAGCAGAGGACCACACTGTCTGGTCAGATCGAGATCTATGGAGGGATATCAGTGCATAAAGCCTCATTTGAAAAAAGAAAAGTAAAAGCCCTTAAAACAAGTCTTTCTTCAGTTTGGAAATCTCTGCATTTTTGTATACTAAGTCCTTGTGAAACACATCAAGGAAGCGACGTCAGATGCAAATGGAGGAACCAGAAGTGGCGGACAGGCCATTTTGGAAAGTGGAAATCCCATCCAAACGTATCTTGTAGCTTGCTGAGACTCTGGGGGTACTGTGAGTACTACTGAGTACTCCTGCTCAAGGTCATTATGACAACTAGGAGCTTTTATCCATGAGGCTAGGAGGACATCATAAAGAATATTTACCCAGGCTAGGAAAGCTTTCCTTGGATGGTGTATACCCTTGGTGGTATTAAAAGGTGGTTTATTTGCCATCTGGTAAGGGTATTCAGTCTTTACACTATAGAAGTGTTCACTGTTACCAGCACTTGGATTTTTTGGATCACTAGAGTGTTTCACAACCTCATGTTTCACATTGAGTTCACGGGTCATGTATATGGTCACGTATGATGTGAAGTGGCACATATGATGTTTATTTTTGTACACTATTGATATAAGGATAAAACACTATTTAGTTTTTCTTTTTTTGGAGGATCACTTTGAAGTTTGGAGTCTTTTGGAAGATTTCCACATTGAGGACTTGGATTTATATCTTTGGAATTTATTTATAGTGTGACTTTGATTTTTTGGCACAAGTATATCACTGTGGAACTTTTTTTGGACACTTTATTTATTTTCATTGGTTTGTTATTTTGCAGATATTATTTTATTTAATGTAGTATATTTGTTTTGGTAATAAGGTTGAGCATATTGAGGTATTATCATTTATTAC